TGATAACAGCTCTCCATTATCTGCTGCTAACCAGACAATCCCTATTTAGGATTTTTTGGGCCATTTCTCCGTCGTGGTCAATGAGGCGGTGCTATGCAGTGCTGTGATTATCACCTCTGCTGTCAGTGAAGGAAAGCAATTAAAAAAAAAATTCCAAATATCACAACTCTGCAATGCAGCACTGATTTCTTGGTGAGAATGTTTGTACATAATACATATATTTGGCTATATTTACAATTAGAGTTGCAGAATTTGCACTCCGGCACTGATTGCAGTTCTACAGGTTGTTCAAACCAACATGATTGATCACATTTAATTAACCAAAACTCTGCTAGGATGAGAGCCAGTCTTCATGTCTATATTATAGTTAGGGTGAGGCACCCTGGCAGGACAGATTGAATTTCTGCTGCCAGGCATACTGCATGTTATTATAGCAACTGCTTATTAGAATTTTTTGGTCAGGAGTCAGAACCTAAAATCAACATCGTGGGGTTGATTTACTAAAGGCAAATAGATTGTGCACTTTGCAAGTGCAGTTGCACTCTACAAAAGCATTTGCTCCAGAGCTTAGTAAATGAGGGAAAGCGCTGTTGACTTCCATCCTCCAACCACGTGCAAACAAAAATGCAGTTTTTTTTAAATTTTACAACAGGCTTGTAGAAGGTGCAAGAAGCTCCGAGCGCATAGCCTTTCTCTGGTTCCAGTCTTCTCCTCTTTCCGGTGATGTGATTTCTGCCCGCGCATTGCACGCTGTTTCCGGTGCACTTCCTGATGTACATAGGGCATCCCAGCCCCATCTCTTCCACCCTCCAGCCTTTTGGCAGACTGTGCAGATCAGGAGTGAGCAAAGAACCTACCCTGTGATGAGCCTGTTTTATCTACACATCTTGTGAGTGTTTTTATTTTGTATTAATAAATACCTCAACGTATTACTGCACTTAGCTGGCGCCTCCTTCTCTCTCTTCTGAGCTGAAGACAGCTCCTGTCAAGGAGAGCGGAGTGTGGCCTGGCCGGTCCAACTCAAAGGGGAGTTATCTGAAGTTGCAGACATAGGCCCAGTGCTTTTCCTTACTCCTCCGGTACCTCTCCCTACCACTAGTGCTATCCCTGACAGACAGGTATCCTGTCCCTGCATTATCCGGTTGCAAAAAATGTGTCAAAATAAGGGGGCAGGGAAGACTATGCATAACCCAAAGAAGGCCTCCAGAGTCACCTGGATCCAGCATAGCCAACCGGATCACTGCTCCAGGAGACCGAGGCAATCATAGAGAAACCCAATTCCTCTTGACTTCCTGTAGAGAATGTAGACTGCACCTGCCTACTACATTTTTCCATAAAAAGCTTTTTTTTAGAAGGATAACAAAGAATAGATATGGCCTGCTATCCTGTGCATGTTCCTGCCAAGATATTCAAGTTATGTCATTGTAGTCCGATCTGTTGGAGGGCCCAGCGATTTCAGAAAGTGCCTTTTTTATTCATTGGGGTGCCATCTGTTCTGATTTCTTGCCCACCTGAAAGTTTTGGGTGTTCCCACCCACTTTTATGTGTCACAGCCCTTCCTGGTGCATTCTCCATGATCTAAGGTCCCATTCACATCTGAGCAATTTCTTGCTTGAATCTTAACAAGGCAAAATTCATTCATTTCAAAGGCACCTGTTCACTCAGAGCATTTTGTCACCTGGAGGCAAAATGCCTATTGCTAAAAAAGTACATGAGATCTTTTTGGCAGATCTGGGGCTGATTGGGCCCCATAGACTTCAATTGAAAAACTTGAAAACGAACTGCATGAGCGTTTTATGAGTGTTTTCTCACATATTTTCTGCTCAAACAGCAGTTCTCCCCACCCCTAATCGCCTCCACCTTAACATTATGAATACCTTTTTTCCCCTTTCATGTAAGTGATCACATTCCTTCAGTGCTCAGCTGAATACGTAAGGGAAGAGAAAGAGCTGCAGACTGATCTTCCTAGTGAATGGCAGTGCAGGGGTGTGTATTAGCACAAACCTGATCATTGGAGGAGAGCAGGCTGAGTTCCCAGCAAAGCTAGAGAACTGACCACACTGTGCTCTCATGCCTAGTGTGGTCAGTTTTTAATAGGAAAGCAGAGGGACTGGCAGGAACACCAGGGATTTCACACAAAGGAAGCAATACAAAGAGAACAAGTACAAGTACATATAATGTACATACAAGTACATGGTACAGCAGGCACATATCATGAATATAAAATGTTGGGTTTACATATTCTTTAACCTCCTTAGCGGTGTTCCCGAGTGTAGCTCGGGGTAAAATTTCAGTACCAAGAGCGGTAACCCCGAGCTACACTCGGGCTTACCATGCGGCGTTCTCCGGGGGTCCCTGCAGCACTTACCTTGTCCTTCGCTCCCACGATGTGTCCCCTGCAGCGTCCCCGGCCATCTCCTCCGGCCGATGCCGGCATCCGGCTTCTGTGTTCCGGTCCCTGTGACGTCGGGATGTACGGGCGCCGGAACCGGCGGGAAATTTGACATTTTTAAAAAATGTCATTTTTTTGCTGTCATTGCTTTTTCAATGCATTTCACATATATTTTGTCCCTACTGCTTTGTCCTGTGCCCTGCCTGCATTTTGACTGTTCTTTCTGCCTGGAAACTTAGAAAAGTCCATGGCGTCCAAAAAGCGTCCCTTTACGTCAAAAGCGGTTTTAGAACAGCGATAGTAAATCAGAACCACTTGCAGAATTGAGTGATAATGATTTGTGGGGAAATTCGTCATCAGACACTGAAAAACGATTTTGCGACTTTGCTCAGAGATGTGCGAATTTGCCTCTGTATTTCAAATTTCAGTGTTTTTGGTTTGATTATATTATTGAATTAAATTTATTATTATTATATTATTATTTTTTATGATTATTTATTTAATTATAATTTATGATTTCGTGTTTCAAATTTTACCCTACCCGGGATGTTTAATAGACTCTTGTTCGGACAGATTTCAGTGAGTTATTCCTAAAAATGACAGCCTACAATACAAAACTACATATTTCTATGCAAAAAAATGGTACCTAACCGCTTTCAGCACAAAAAATCGGAAAGAATCACACCGCCGAGGAGGTTAAATAATAAATTCCAACAGTTGTGCAGATGCAGAAACTCAAGCATAGATATCTCACCAATATAAATCCCAAAGAAATATAAGAAATCATCAGGCAGTAAAATCTGCAGCAGCTGGAACATCTGTTTTAGCTGGACTGACTGTTTAAGTGCCAGTTCACACTACTGCAGTGCAAGACCCAAATGTGATTTGGACAGGAATCGCACCACATTCCTGTTCAAATCACATCTGATTCTTTGCATTGCGATTTGAGCCATTTATTTTGTATGGCCTAAACTGAACTGCAAATTGCAGCGTACCGCACGAAAGGCGCAGTCAACTTTTTTTTTCCACACTGGAATTGGATCACATGGGTGTTTACATATGTGATCCAATTCAGCCTATCGCACTTCAATTTGCAAATCATTTTTGGGGTGTCGTTAACGTAACATAGACACCTATTCGGTTCGCACAAAGGGAGTTCAATTGCGCACCACACCAGTGTGAACCGGCACTGAAACCTAAAATATCGCAGTTTTAAAACAGCTCTCTCCTGAGAAATGTTATATTGTAATTATTAATATAATAAAGGTAAAACCTGCACTATACTTCAAAGAAATGCCAGGCTTTTTGGCAATGAGAACATGACTGAGGGACATGCAGAGTGCTAAGGCTCATGTTATCTATAATCAATACACAATTTTGACCCATTCCCATAGAAATGACCAGACAACAACATTTTATTTGGAGTCGTATGGCCATAGCAGCCTTTTATTACAAAGCATTAAACACAATATTAAAGACAACAAGCATAGTGCATAGAACACAGTCAATGCATAACAAATCTCAAATTTATCCTGCTAGGTCTAAGGTCTTTGAATCTCAACAAACTGGTTGTATCTGCCACCCGATAAAAGGCCCCGAGCCGCAGCTACACTGACTTGGGGACAATTTAACCACTTACTTACTACCAGATACAACCTTCTTAAACCCTGATGTTACCAATGTATTATTAGGATGGGACACCCATGCCTAAAATGGGCCCAACCCATAATTCTCCACAATTTTGAACCAGACCCAATAGACCCCCCCACCAGCTGCCATGACAAGAAAATTACAAGAACTTGAAAAAAAAATGAATGACAAGCCACAACAGAAGAACCTAGAACCCACCATTATCCACCAGCCCTGGAAAAAAGGTAAAAAGTTCCCCCCAACCAGAAACAAACCAGGGAGGGAGGGCAGGAGAAATCTATTTGTTGTTGGCACGAGCACCGACTGAGCTCCGACAAGAGCCCCTTCTCTCTACACACTACAGGACACTCCCTATGCCTCAACCCTTCCAATCTGATAAGCCCACTACATCATTCAAAAATCACCCGACTAATACTCCGCCTCTCCTGCACGCCCCAGTCATGTTGGCCCTCCTCCTAGTTTCACTCAGATCCAGGCCATATACTTTGTGTGAAAGTGTTATTTTTACAAGTAATGTTAGAAAAAAAATGATCAATTTACTAGACAAAGCTGTTATACGCATGGTAATTCATGAGCAATTTCTGTGTTACCCTCCCTAGCGGTCTGAATATGTCCATATTTCTGTGCTCAAAGCGGTACATTTTTTTTTGCATGGAAATATGTATTTTTTTTATTGTAGGCCTGTAATTTTTAGGAATAACTCACTAAAATCTCTCCGAACAAGAGTCTATTAAACATCCCGGGTAGGATAAAACTTGAAACACGAAATCATAAATTATAATTGAATAAATAATCATAAAAAATAATAATATAATAATAATAAATTTAATTAAATAATATAATCAAACCAAAAACACTGAAATTTGAAATATAGCGCCAAGTTCGCACATCACTGAGCAAAGTCGCAAAATCGTTTTCAGTGTCTGATGATAAATTTCCCCACGAATCATTATCACTCAATTCTGCAAGTGGTTCTGATTTACTATTGCTGTTCTCTAGCTGGTCTAAAACCGATTTTGACCTAAAGGGACGCTTTTTGGACACCATGGACATTTCTCAGTTTCCAGGCAGAAAGAATGGTAAAAATGCAGGCAGGGGACAGGACAAAGCACTCGGGACAAAATGTATGTGAAATGATTTGATACAGTAATGTTTTACTATGTGATTTTAGTGAATTCAGTGAATGTCACTGTTTGTCATTTTCAAATTTCCCGCCGTTCCGTCCCCCGTACGTCCCGACATTGCAGGGAACGGAACCCAGAAGACAGATGCCGGCATCCACCGGAGGACATTACAGGGGACACTGCAGGAGGAACATCGCGGAAGCGCAGGACAAGTAAGAGAAGAACAGATCCCGGAGCAGCGCCGCATGGTATTCCTGAGTGTAGCTCGGGGTTACCGCTTGTGGTACTGAAACTTTACCTCGAGCTACACTCAGGAATACCGCCAGGGAGGTTAATAGTGCCTACCACCAACCAACAGGGACTATTAAAATGATATGTAAATATAAGTAAATACACTTTGAGGTTGATTCACTAAAACTGGAGAGTGCAAAATCTGGTGCAGCTCTACATAGAAACTAATCAGCTTCTAACTTCAGTTTGTTAATTAACCGCTTTCGTGCAGCGCTATAGCAGAAACACTGCTGCAGGCTGGCATGGGGTGCGCAAAATCACATCTATATATACGTGATTTTGCAGTTCCGGGTAGGGGGTGCATGTGCACCCTACCCGCGCCGCCATTTGTGACCTCATTTGTCAATCACCGGGTCCCAGCCAGTGATTCCCCGGCAGCAATCTCTGAGGATTTCTGATGGGGGAGAGACCTGTCTGTAAACAATACAGATCTCTCCCCTGTCAGCTCCTGCGCACTGCTTTGTGTGGCTCTGTATAGCACAGCCATAGAAAGCAGTGTGCTTACAGTGAAACACAGACAGCCCACGTAGTAAAAAGGCATACAGTTAACCCTTTAATCGCCCCTCATGTTAACCCCTTCCTGTCCAGTGCCATTTGTACAATATCAGTGCTTTTTATTAGAACTGATTACTATATTGGTGTCACTGGGGATGTCAATGATACTCAGTCAGTTCCCCCCAGTGTCAGAATGCCCACTGAAGTCCCACTATAAATTCGCTGATCGCCGTCATTACTAGTAAAAAAAAAACCCGTATATATACTGCATTTGTAAACGCTATAACTTTCACGTAAACCTATTAATTTACACGTATTGGGATTTTTTATAGCAAAGACATGGAGCAGAATACATTTTTGGCTTAAATTTATGACGAAATCTTATTTTATTTTTTTTTATTGGACATGTTTAATAGCAAAAAGTCAAAAATATTTTTTTTTCAAAATTGTTGGTCTTTTTTTGTTTATAGTGCATAAAAATAAGAAACGTACAGGTGATCAAATACCACCGAAATAAATCTCTATTTGTGGGAAAAAAAGGATGTAAATTTAATTTGGGTGCAGTGTTGCATGACCACGCAATTGTCAGTTAACCGCTTGCCGCCCTGCCACTGTATATATACGTGTGCAGGGCGGCACTCAGGCGCAAAACCACGTTTTAAAACGGGTTCCACGCTCCCGACGTTTTCGCCGGCAGGGGGCGCGCGCAGCGCTCCCCCCGACCCGCGGGTGACACCGTTCGATCCTGGAGGGATCAATCATTAGATTTCAGCCAGTGATGTCTGGCTGAAATCAGATGATCGGTCCCTGTCCTATCCTGTACTGTGTTGAAGTTTACACAGGACAGGATATGATGTCATTCTTCTCTGCCTGGACACATTCCGTTCCAGACAGAGAAGAAGACACAGTAAAGTGAGTAAAACACTACACATTTACAGTTAGAACACACCTAGGTCACATTTAACCCCCTGATCGCCCCCCCCCCCCCCAGTTAACCCCTACACTGCCCTGTCACCAGTGTCACTGATCAGTGAACCGATTTTTACTGATCACTGTATCAGTGTCGCTGGCGACTTCCGATAGTGTTAGCGCCCCTCCCAGATAGCGCCAGATTGCCCGCCAGTACACCAGTAATCCCGTTTAACCCCTTGAACCCCTTGATTCGCCCCCCCCCCCCCAGTTAACCTCTTCACTGCCCTGTCACCAGTTACTGATCAGTGAATCGATTTTTACTGATCACTGTATCAGTGTCGCTGGCGACTTCCGATAGTGTTAGCGCCCCTCCCAGATAGCACCAGTTTGCCCACCAGTACACCAGTAATCCCGTTTAAAAACCCCTTAATCCCCCCCCCCAGTTTAAAACCCTTTCACTGCCCTGTCACCAGTGTCACTGATCAGTGAACCGACTTTTTTCTGATCACTGTATCAGTGTCGCTGGCGACTTTCCGATTAGTGTTAGCACCCCTCCCAGATAGGCGCCAGATTGCCCGCCAGTACAGCCAGTAATTCCCGTTTAAAAACCCCTTGATGGCCTCTTCAACGATCCCTGTCACCAGTTTACTGAGGCACTCCAGTATTAACCCTCTTCACATTGCCACTGTCACCAGTTCACTGATCAGTGAATAATCGATAATTTTTTTACTGATCACTGTATCAGTGTCGCTGGCGACTTCCGATAGTGTTAGCGCCCCTCCCAGATAGCACCAGTTTGCCCGCCACAGTACACCATAATCCCGTTTAAAAAAAACCCCTTAATCCCCCCCCCCCTCGCCAGTTAACCCCTTCAACCCTTTCATATGCCCTGTCACCAGTGTCACTGATTCAGTGAACCGACTTTTACTGATACTGTATCAGTGTCGCTGGCGACTTCCGATACCCCTCCCCAGATAGAGATTGCCCCGCCCCCCCCCCCAGTTAACGCCCCCTCCCCCCCCCCCTCCCCATTAACCCCTCATAACCACCAGTGTCACTGATCAGTGAACCGATTTTTTACTGATCACTGTATCAGTGTCGCTGGCGACTTCCGATAGTGTTAATTCGCCCCTCCTCAGATAGCGCTAGTTTGCTCGCTAGTACACCAGTAATCCCATTTTAACCCCTTAATCTCCCCCCCAGTTTAACCCCTTCACTGCCCTGCCACCAGTGTCACTGACAAGTGAACCGATTTTTACTGATCACTGTATCAGTGTCGCTGGCAGGCGACTTAGCCGATAGTGTTAGCGCCCCTCCCAGAAAGCGCCAGATTTCCCGCTTTTTCAATACACCAGTAATCCCGTCTAAACCCCTTGATCGCCCCCCCCCGAGTTAACCCCCTCACTGCCCTGTCACACCAGTGTCATTGATTACAGTGAACAGATTTTACTGATCACTGTATCAGTGTCCACTGGTGATTTCCGATAGTGTTAGCGCCCCTCCCATATAGCGCCAGTTTGCCCGCTAATGCACAGGATTTTTTTTTACCAAAAACATGGAAGCAGAATACATTTTGGCTTAAATTTATGACTAGAACTTTGAGTTTACGATATATATTTGTATAGCTGAAAGTAGAAAATATTGGGTTTTTTTCAAAGTTTTTGTGTTTTTTTTTTTTATAGGGCGCAAAAAAAAAAAAAAGCGCACAGATGATAAAATACCATCAAAAGAAAGCTCTATTTGTGTGAAAAAAAGGACGTAAATTTGTTTGGGTACAGCATTGCATGACCGCGCAATTATCAGTTGAATTAGTTTGCAGCGCTGTATAGCAAAAAAAAAGGCGTAAATTACAGTATCTATACCATAGTTTGTAGAACGCTATAACTTTTTCACACAAAGCAATCAATATACACTTATTGGGATTTTTTTTACCAAAAAACATGGAGCAGAATACATTTTGGCTTAAATTTAATGACAACTTTGAGTTTACGATATATTTTTATAGCTGAAAGTAGGAAAATATTGTTTTTTTTTCAAAAAGTTTTTGTGATTTTTTTGTTATAGCGCAAAAATAAAAAGCGCACAGATGATAAAAATACCATCAAAAGAAAGCTCTATTTGTGTGAAAAAAAGGCGTCGTAAATTTTCGTTTGGGTGTAGCATTGCATGACCGCGCAATTATCATTTGAATTAGTGCAGCGCCAAACAGCAAAAAAAGGCCTGGTCGTTAAGGGGGGGTAAATCCTCAGGAGCTCAAGTGGTTAAAGTAACACAGTGCCGTATCGCAAAAAATGTCCTGGTCAGGAAGGGGGTAAATCCTCTGGAGGCAAGTGGTTAAGCTTTGACAATAAAACCTGGAAGCTGATTCGTTTCTACACCAGATATTGCACTCTCCAGTTTTATTTAAATCTACCCCTATAGAAGTTATAATAAAAGTTATGATTCTGCAATAAATGAAAATTCTGCAATAAAAAAATAAAAGTCTCTACACTTACAGAGAGCGCCCCGTGCCTTCCACCGTGCCTTCCATGTTATTTTTTTTAAGACAATGACCTGATATACTAGATTTTCAGGTTAGGTCTGCGCAGTGTTTTTGAAAGATGTTGTCCTGCCCACTCCCCTGATATCTAGCCTTTATTTTTTGTAAAGGTGTGCTCCTAGATGACCTGTTTTTAAGACATTCTTTTATGAAGGATGAAACCATAGATTTGCCCAAGATTGACAGCTGTTTAATCAACAAACCATTCCCAGGTGTTATAAAGCACATTTGCGAACATATTAAGCATTTAAAAAAAAGTGCTGATTTTTGCTAAATTGTTTTGTTATGTTAAATAATGAGGCTTGATAAGATTTTCCAGATTTATCAGGCTGCATATTGTACACAATTAACCTGCTAAACTTTGCCACTGTGAATTAGGCTGATCCAAAAGTTTTCTATAATTTCCTATCCACATGCACCACACATTTGCTGATGGTATGCTTGACTTTCTGAAATTTCAGCCTCTGCAATATTCCCTGGTGTAGTGTATTAAAATCTAATATTAGTAGAAGAAAAAAAAAAAATTAAATAAAAAAAACAGCACAAGGGACATTACTTACTATCAATCAAAAGTGTCCCTTGTGCTGATGGCTTCTGCATTTGTTGACATCCTCCCCCCAATTGTCACTCTCAGGCAGCTGGCCCAAAGTAATGAAGTGCTGCCAGTGCTGGTGTGAGTTCATTGGGATGGAAAGTGCCTGAAAGGGGCTGGAGGAGATCAGCAGCACTGAGATGCATAAAAATGGGAAAACTATTTTATGAAAAATAAGACAATTTTTTTATGATGCACATGCCTTGCCCACTGCTGTAAGGGTCCATTTACTTCACAATTCAGTGCGCGTGCCTTGCCAGCTGCTGTAAGGGCCCATTTACTTCACAATCCAGTGAGCATGCCTCGCCCACTGCTGTGAGGGTCCATTTACACCACAATCTAGTGCACGTGCCTTGCCCACTGTTGTGAGGGCCCATTTACACCATAATCCAGTGAACGTGCCTTGCCCACTGCTGTGAGGGTCCATTTACTTCACAATCCAGTGCATGTGCCTTGCCCACTGCTGTAAGGGCCCATTTACTTCACAATCCAGTGCACGTGCCTTGCCCACTGTTGTAAGGGTCCATTTACACCACAATCCAGTGCACATGCCTTGCCCACTGCTGTAAGGGCCCATTTACTTCACAATCCAGTGCACGTGCCTTGCCCACTGCTGTAAGGGCCCATTTACACCACAATCCAGTGCACGTGCCTTGCCCACTGCTGTAAGGGTCCATTTACACCACAATCCAGTGCACGTGCCTTGCCCACTGCTGTAAGGGTCCATTTACTTCACAATCCAGTGCACGTGCCTTGCCCACTGCTGTAAGGGTCCATTTACACCACAATGCAGTGCATGCAATTTTGTGCATTGACACATACAGTATTGCAGAATGCTGCATTAGGCAGCCTAGTGAAAATGAATGGGCTGCAAACCACCTCGGTGGAGGATATCTCAAGTACTGTCTGCATTTAATTTGCAGCGCAATGCCCAGACACCATGGATTGTGCTGTGCTGCACTGGCATGTGCGTGAGTTCAAGAGTGATTGGCTGAGGCATTCACAATGAATGACACCACACTGCATCAGCACATGTGACATGTTACCAAATGTTGCAGTAATATATGTGTTACTGCATTGCAAGAAACGTGAGTGGGCCCTATAAGTGCACTGGGGTGCCATCCAAAATGAATGGCACCGCCACCACTGTTATGTCTAACAGGTAACCAGTGGTAAAGGGTGCATTTTGCTGCACTCAAGAACAGTGTAAATATATGAATGGGCTCTTAGGATTTGTATCTACTTCAAAGCTAACTTTTGACCGGTTCACTATACTGACACAAGGGGGTTAAGTAACTAAAACTGGAGAGTGCAAATCTGGTGCAGTTGTGCATGGTAGCCAACCAGATTCTAACTGCAGCTTGTTCAATCACAGTGTTACTAAACCCAGGACCCTGCATTCACTATATCTGGTCTCCCCGAACCCTGCATTCACTATATCTGGTCTCCCTGGACCCTGCATTCACTATATCTGGTCTCCCAGGACCCTGCATTCACTATATCTGGTCTCCCAGTACCCTGCATTCACTATATCTGGTCTCCCCGTACCCTGCATCCACTATATCTGGTCTCCCCGGACCCTGCATTCACTATATCTGGTCTCCCCCGGACCCTGCATTCACTATATCTGGTCTCCCACAGTACACACAACATGGAAGTGCAATTATTTTAGTAAATATAAACTGCTAAATACTTTTTCTCATTAGCAGTTATAGCAGTTTAGTGAGTTCTATCAGTGTCCAGCAGAGCACTGGTTAAAGCTTGTAGGAGGAGTTTTCTTTCAGTTCTAGGAGGATGCAGGACCCCTGACCACTGTCTGGACAGTGCTGATTGGCTCTGTGCTGATCCCATGCACTCTCCAAAGAAAAAAAAAACCTCTCTAGCAATACACACTAAACTGAGCATTGCACAATGGCTACGGTTCAATCTGTCTTATCAGGAGATAAGACTGTGGACATTTGAACAAGAGGAGGAGCAAAAGAGTCAGGATGAAACAGCCTTTTTACACAATCAGAGGATTAACCCCTTAGGTTCCACAGTGAGTTTAACAAGCATGCTTTACTGCATCTACAGACTGATTTTACTGTTGTGGTTTTAGTAACACTTTAAGCTTTGACAATAAAACCTGGAAGCTGATTGGTTTTTATGCAGAGCTGCACCAGATTTTGCACTCTCCAGCTTTAGTATTTCTCCCCCAATGACTCGTGAGAAGAACCACAGAGCTCAGAAGAGGGCAAGGTATTCGAGGCAGTCAAAATAATATCATACTTTTTTTAAAGTGTGATACACAAAGGGGGTTATTTACTAAACCTGGAGAGTGTAAAATCTAGTGCAGCTCTGTATAGAAACCAGTCAGCTTCCAGGTTATATTGTCAAAGCTTAAAGTGTTACCAAACCCAGGACCCCGTATTCACTATATCTGGTCTCCCCAGACCCTGCATTTACTCTATCTGGTCTCCCCGGACCCTGCATTCACTCTATCTGGTCTCCCCGGACCCTGCATTCACTCTATCTGGTCTCCCCAGACCCTGCATTCACTCTATCTGGTCTCCCCAGACCCAGCATTCACTCTATCTGGTCTCCCCAGACCCTGCATTCACTCTATCTGGTCTCCCCAGACCCTGCATTCACTCTATCTGTTCTCCCCAGATGCTGCATTCACTCTATCTGGTCTCCCCAGACCCTGCATTCACTCTATCTGGTCTCCCCGGACCCTGCATTCACTCTATCTGGTCTCCCACAGTACACACAACAACATGGAAATGCAATTATTTTAGTAAATATAAACTGCTAAATACCTTTTCTCATCTGCAGTTTGAGCAGTCATGTGACTTTTATTAGTGCCCAGCAGAGCACTGGTTAAAGCTTGTAGGATGAGTTTTCATTTTCCCCTGATGGTCCTATGAGGCTGCAGGACCCCTGACCCTCTGTCTGGACAATGCTGATTGGCCCTGTGCTGATTACATGCACCCTCCTAAGAAAAAGGCTCTCTAGCAATACACATCAAACGGAGCATGTTCAGAGTTTCCCCAAGTCACTGTTCTATCAGCAGGTGGATTGGGGACTATTGAAGAAGGGGGGGATCAGAAAAGTCAAGATCACACATCCTTTTTACACAATGAAGAGGATAACCCCTTACGTCCACAGTGAGTATAACAAGCATGCTTTACTGCATCTACAGACTGATTTTACCGTTGTTGGTTTAGTAACACTTTAATTGAACAAACTGAAGTAAGAAGCTGATTGGCTACCATGCACAGCTGCACCAGATTCCGAGTGCTCCAGTTTTAGTAAATCCCCCCCATACTGTATAACACGCATGGTATAAATGATTGATGCTGAAAACTGACCTGACCCATTATCTGGGGCTAAGACTGACACACACACAAAAAAAACTCTAGCCAATACCCAGAGGCTGGAAACAAATGCCCCGGAGTTGTTCTTTAATTTTCCAAACAACCAGAGCAGAGGTTACATGTGTAAACACTAAAGGACATTCTAATTCAGGTTAATATGTAAGGTTCCAGCTTGTCGGAAGGAAGACACCAAACAGTTACAGCAAATTAGCCAGGGGAGGCAGAGGGCTCTGCTCATTTACTCACAAATAAGGGGACATTATGCAGAGAGAGCTGTAACATGTCTTCAATCAGAGAGCGGAACAGATAATTGCCTATCAGCCCGATACATACATGACCAGCTAAGTAGTTAAAAGCTTTCACTATCAGGAGTGGATAGCCCATTCTAAATCCAGCACTAATTACAGAATTAATTAAAGTGCCTGAGTAATGTCTCACAGGCCACACCTCAGCGAGGCTAATGAAGGTGACAACAACTGAAATATAATTAAGCAGGAAAAGCAGGCTCCTCTTAAAAATTTGATTATATTTGGGGTTTAATTTCCTGTCTGCGTGAAAAAAAAAAAAAAATTAGTTAACCACATTTCACAAATACCTTTTTCCCTGTTAGTCCAATTAATTAAAATTTTAATTAACACAGTAATCTCGGGGAGTTCACTTTTTTCTTACATTTCCTACTTTTGACAAATTTGCTCTGCATCCGTGATTTTCTTGGTTCAATTTGATTATCTTTCCCCTTTTTCATATTTCTTTACAATGTTTGCCCGTCACCCCCCTCCCTCAAGCAAAAAGGTGAAAGAGCCCAAGATGCTTTTAGTTGTTCATAATTTGATCACATAAAAACAACCAACGTGTTTTTTGGGGTCATCAACACTCCCCTTTCATTAGGGATTAGAAAAATAGAATGAAGACTTAAGCCATGTGCACACGGAGAGGATATCGGAAGAATGATCGTCCGTTTTGGGGCTTTTTTTTTTTTGCATTCTAGTCTCCATATCGAAAACAAAGAGGTTACTCAACTAACCAAAATTCTCATATGATAGAATTTCAGAAGTGATATGATGTATTGTATTGCATTTGTATTGTATTTTTGGACAAGGACTATACTGAATAATCGAAAATTGTACAATCTGGTATCATATAAGAAACATTTTCTTGCTTTTCCCTTTGGATAATTTCGGATGAACTTATTGGATGAACTGAATCATGATTGGCTCTCGATTGTTCAGTTTTCCTTCATGTTTCATAGCAAGTCAAACCCGAGGATGGTACTAATTGTACGAAAATTCTCAAATGACAAAGGCTTTTTTGTATGATGTAGAAACATTACAGCGTAGATTATTGTCGTTTATTGTTTCTGATCCTGCAGTCTTTGATATCCCATTTGTATAAAAAAAAAGTATACGTACATGAAAATTGTTCTGTTCAGGGAGTCTGATAGTTCCTCGTGTTGAATATTTTTTTTTATGATTTTCTCATAGTGTGTACCCCACTTTAGGCTCATTGTTTCTGGACTGTATTGCAAGACAAATTCATGTATCAAATGGTGGAAGCCCTAACTAGAAATAATGCTCTGCTGAACCTATGAACTACAAACAACACAGGGCTGATTTTAGGTGGAAGTAAGGGATCATTTAGGAAACAGTGATCATGGAGTAGTTATGTTTGCCATAAAAAATATAGGAAAGGGAGACCTAGGGAAAGGATAATTACACAAAATTTCAAAGGAGCCAGCTTTACTAACCTGCACTGCATACTACATGACACTAAATGGGATAAAATTCCTGCAACAAAGAGCACTGAAAAGAAGTGGGAGTGCTTTAAGGACATATTAAACAATGCTATTTGTCAGTGCCATCCAATGGGCAACAAATACTGTATGAAACAGAAAAAGTAAAAATTTGGTGGCTAAATTATAAATTAAAAAGGCATATTAATGAAAAATTGTGCTTTAAAACATATAAGGTCGAAGAGTCACTATCAGCATTCCAAAACTATAAAGAACGCATTAAGAAATGCATAAATGCAGTCAGGGCAGCTAAAAAAAATTATGAGAAACATATTGCTGAAGAGAGTAAAAAAAAATCCCAAAGGTTTTTAAAATATATTAATAGTAGGTCAGAACATATTGGCATATAAAAGATGATTAGGGGAAGTTGGTCACAAGTGACAGGAAGAAGGTGACTGTATTATATACATTCTTCTCTTCACGTTTTACAAAGAAAAAGAAGGGATATAATATACATGACTGTAATGTTCATAACAAATTGAATATACCCCCATTCATTCAAAAAAATGGAAGGTACCCACATGGCTGACAGAAACCAGGGTTCAAAAGAGACTAGAAAAACTTGATGTGAACAAATGACCAGGACCAGATGGATTACACCTGAGAGTCCCTAAAGAACTGAGCCATGTTATAGCCAGACCATCATTTCTAATTTTTAAGGAAAAATTATTGACTGGAATGTTACCAGCTGATTGGCAAAATATAATCATAGTACCAATATTCAAAAAAAGGGCCCAGATATACTGTACCAGTCTGTACATACCAGCCAGCCTGACATCAATAGTATGTAAACTATTTGAAGGAATGATAAGGGGACTTATCCAAGAATTTTGCAGATGAAAATAGTATCATGAGTAGTAACCAACATTTATGAAAGACCGTTCTTGCCAGTCTAACCTTTTTACATTGTATGAGGAAGTAACCTGTAATTTGGAAAAAGGAAGGCCTGTAGACGTAGTGTAACTGGATTCCACTAAAGCATTTGATACTGTACCCTGTAAACACGTAATTTACAAATTAAGGTCCTTTGGCATTGTTGATATGGTATGTACCAGAATAGAAGACTGATTGCAGGACTGTGTACAGAGGGAGGTAATTAATGACATATTTTCTGAATGATCTAGAGTTGTAAGTGGTGTGTCCCAGGGCTCTGTCCAGGTACTAATTCTGTTTAACTTGTTCATAAACAATAAAAAGGTTGGAATAAATAGTTTAATCTTAGGGTTTGCTGATGCTACAAAGCTAAGCAGAGCAATAACTTCACAACAGGATATAGCAACTTTACAAGAAGACCTAATGCAAGTTACGCACTGGGAGAGAACCTCTGGGTGAATCAAGGATGTAAAAGGATCTGGGGGTCCTAGTAGATCACAGACCCCGCAATCACATTCCCGTGTGAGGGATGGGTTTTATGAGCATCTTTACAGTATTGAAAAACATCTCTCCATTAGTGTTGCCCGCCACTTCAGTAATTGTCATGCAGGTGATTTATCAGCAGTACAGGTTCATCTTTTTTTCCTTCATCACATTCATTGACAAGTTGCAGTAAGTAAGGTTTTGCAGACTATTAGCAAGCATTAAAAAGGGTATTTACACAAAGATAAAACTATAATTCTACCACTTTACAAACCTCTGGTTCGGCTGCATGTTGAGTATGCTGTTCAGTTCCAGGCACCAAGCCTCAGGACAAATGTGCTGGAACTGTAGTCCTGAGTCCAGACAAGGGCAACACAGCTAATAAGGGAGTTGGAGGACCTCAGTGACTACAAACACTAAACTTACTCTTCCTGGAGAAAAGACACTTAAAGCGGAGTTCCAGTGAAACGGTAAAAAACTAAAAGTCAGCAGCTACAAAAACTCTAGCTGCTGACTTTTAAAAAACAGCCACTTACCTGTATCTCGATCCTGCAGTGTCCCCCCACAGCCTGTTTCACTGGCCGTCCTGTGTTCCCGGCATCGGCATCTTCAGTGTGGGCACCCAGCTATGACAGCTTGCGGCTTCACAGCCGGGTACCCACTGTGCATGTGCGAGTATCGCTGTGCTTCATGAATGGTCCTGTAGTCTTCTGGAATCTGTCATGTGTCCTAGAAGACTATGGGGAGGGAGGGGGAATGACAACTTCCGCTTCCAATCGCCTAGGCGATTGCAGCGGAAGTGGGAGCAGGTACCTATCAATTTCGGGTACCTGCCCCCCCCCCTGCTCCCCTAAGGTGCCAATCCTTAATGGGGAGTGGGGGAGCAGTCATTTAAGCGGAACTTCCCCTTTTGGGTGTAGCTGCGCTTTAAGAGGGAATATGATTGCAATATACTAATCTTT